CTATAGCATAAACTGAAACAGTGCAGGGAGGGCAACTGCAGATACTATAAATAGTGGGAGAGCAATAGGGTTGGGAAAATAGGAGGAGAGAGGAACAGGGGGAAAAAAAACAAACAAATGTTTAATTGACCCAAAAATGAAAAGTTATTTGTAGACAAGGCAAAACAAACAAACAAACCAAAAAAAAAAAAAAACTTAAATGTTGATCACCAGGAGAATAGATAAATCAGAATATATTCATCATATAAATATTTTATGCATAAGAAAATGAATTAAGGCCCAACTGCTGTAGTGTGCACTGGTTGACACTGCTAGTTAGCAAGCTAAGGCCACATGTGAGGCCTACGTTCAGTTCCTAGCCCACCATAAAAGCCTGTCCTGGTGGCATGTGTTTCTAATCCCAGCTACTCTGGAGATTGAGGCAGGAGGATCACGAGTTTTCAGCCAATGTAGGTAAAGTAGTGAGACACTGTCCAGAAGAGCCTAGCACAATCTATGGTCCCAAGCTATTCCAGAGGCTGAGGCAGGAGAATCACAACATAGTGAGATCCTGTCTAAAAAAATGAATTAGACAGGGTCTTAAAATGTATGAATTAGAGCTACCAAGATAAATAAATCATTATATATTACATTGCATAAAAAAAGAAAAGAAAGTTGTTAAAGAATATGCATCACTTATGAGATGATTTCCAAAAGTTTTTGGAAAATGGAATTAAAACACAAGATTTTGTGTTGCTATATGGTACCTGTGCTCTACAGAGAGAGGCAGAGAGAGATAGGAAAAGTGAGAAATCACTGCTCCAGGGTAGATGGGCATGCTACAATTCCTTCTCCTCCACTTTCCTCTTGAGATGGACACACATGCCCACATGCATGACATGATTTTCAAATCACCAGATCTGGTCTCTCTCTCTCTCTCTCTCTCTGTTTTGGAGAGGTTTTTGCTATAGGGCGCATGCACTCGCCTGAAAGACAGAGACAGAGACAGAAAGTGAGAAATCACCTCCCAAGGGAATGGCCACGCTGCAATCCCATCTCCTCCCTTTTCCTCTAGGGATTTTGGATGTACATGCACATGCGCCCGGCATGAGTTTAAGTCACGGGGTCCAGGATTCGAACCACGGTCAACTACATGGGAGTCCGGTGACATAGCCATTATGCCAACTGCTAAGCCACTAGATCTGGGACTGGAACAAAAGCGATCAGCCATTTGGAATCCAGTGCCTTAGCTTTCGTGCACCAGCTGGTCCCAGTGCAAGTTTATTTTAGTGCAAAAAAAAATTGAGATCCATGCATAGTTTTTCATAGTACATATTTTCCATAAAATTTTGCAAGATCCTCTCCACATCTCATATCCTCTTATCAAACACCTAAAACATAGAAACGTATACTATCTACCTTTTCAAAATCGACATATAATAATTGTACATATTTGTAGGGTACAATGTGAATTTTAAGTACAAGAACGCAACATGTGATTAAATCATCTCAATCATTTGTCATTACTTTGTGTTGAGAGCGTTCCTTTTTAGGTATTCTGAGATATACATTAAATTGTTGTTAATTATATTAACTTTTCTTTATAACATTAGAAATTTTTCTGCATATCTATTTGTAATTCCGTTTCCATTAACCAACATCTCTGTACTCACTTTCCCTCTATCCTTCCCAGCCTTTCATATACTATATATCTTTTATGGATACGTGCATATGTAGTAATAATGTAAAAAACATGCCTAGGAATGATAAACGCTAGATTCAAGATATGGGTAATCTCTAAGGAGGGAGAGGATTAGATTGTGACATACATGGGGCTAGCAGGTGGCATGGAGGTTAAGGCATTGGATTCCACATGGCCAGCTGTGCTGTTTGAGTCCTGGACTCAGTAGCTTGAAAATCATGCCTGGTGCTTGTGTGTGGGTGTGTATACCAAAAACCCAGAGTAGAGACTGGAAGAGAAGGAATGGCATTGTGGCCATCCCCTCCGGGGGGCTATTTCTCACTTTCTCTGTCTCTCTGTCTGTCTCTACCTTTCTCTGATGAGTGTACACCTAGGGCAAAAATTTTTAAAAATTGTGGACCACAAAGGAGATTTTGATTCTGTTGATAATATTTCATTTATTTTATTTAAAAAAGGGAAACACTTATGGTACAATGTTAGGATTCTATAGAGCTAAGTGATGAGTCCAGGAATATAATGTTAATTGCTAGTATATTTATGTTTATTATTAGTGTGTTAATATTTTGTGTATTTTCTGTTTATTTGAAATATTTCCTAATACAAAAGAAAGTGTACTCGGGGCCGGCAAGTGGCGTGGTGCATAAGGGCGCTGGATTCCCACATGGCCAACCACGGTTCGAGTCTCAGACCTGGTGGCTTGCTTTCTCACTTTCCCTCTTTCACTCTCTCTCTCTGTGTCTTTCTGATCAAATTAAAATAAACAAATAAATAAAATGAATGAATAAATAAAATTAAATAAATAATTCTTTAAAAAAAAAAAAAAGAAAGTATACTCAAAGTTTTATGTTCACAGTAGGTGATAACCCTAGGGACAGAGAGGAGTGGGTATCCCACCTGAACACTGTACTTTCACCCAATCAGCAATGAAACATCCTGAAAAGGAATCGGCAAAGTGATTCTAGAATCCCTCAGTTAGACAGAATCTCCTCATAAAGGATCTAAAGAAGAAAAATTCAAGAAAATCTGGCAAGACTGAGAAGAGTCCTTAGGTGGGAAAAAGTACAGTTGTCATATAACAGGGACAGATCATCCTTACCAGCCTGGAAGAATATTGCAGGAAAAGGAAAAGTGCCCCAGGATCCGGAAGTCTCTCTTATCTCCCGTATTCACTACCCTTTCCTCTCTTGCTGAACATTCCTAGAAGATGCAGAGAAGTCTTTGTCAACTGGTTTTTGATGATAACCACGGGGAGTGACAGGTTCTGAGGTAGAAGACATCATTCCCTTGTTAAAGGTTAAATAAATAAATATCCCCTCCATGAGACAATGAGGTGACACAGAAATAACAAGGGCTAGAGATGGACGAGGTTGAATGAAGTCACATAACTTCTAAGTCAGTTTCCTCACTGCGGTGAGCAATAAATAAAATGCATGTAAAATGCCTGGCATGTAGAAGTCAGTGAAAGAGACAACAGTTCCCTTTCATTTCCCTATAGAGAGAAAAGGAATGACCAGAACCTTACCAGCCAATTAAATAGAACTTTAAAGGAGAAATACAGAGAAAACACTGCTTCTTGGATATTCTGGCTATAACTATGGAGTTATCTGAAGTACAATTTGTTGGTTATGTCTAACTTGCATCTTGTGGATTCTTCCCAACCATAGAAGGCTGCGCTGTTTTCTGAATTTTGATCTGATTTTGTACTTACCAGTGTTTTGTTATCATGAGCAAAGGTAGGATCCAAAAATGGTTTAGTTTACTGATTGTGCAAGTACTATTCATATTAATTCCCTGGCATAGTACAGCTTGTATGATGGCCAAATTCTTACTAATATGCTTCCTCTTTCTGAATTCTGCTGCTCCATAGGGAGCTGGGAGGCTGCAAAAATTTTCACATTTTTTCATGTGAAAATCCTTGCATTTGTATTAATAGATTAAGGAGAACATTATAACACAGAACTCTATATTTTAAATGAAGAGTTCTTTTTTTATGATTTCTCCTCCCCCCTTCTTTCTTTCTCTGCTTGAACAACTGTGTGTGTGTGTGTGTGTGAGAGAGAGAGAGACATTCATATCACTTCCGCTTCCATCCCTACCCCCCACCCCCACCTCCTGAGTGAGGCACAGGGTCAGCCCTCACTGTGCATATTTTGTGGTTGAATTGACTCTGTAGGCTGCTGAAATTCTTAGAAAAAAAATAGGGCCTTCAACAATACATATCTCAGAAGCTCTACCCTTTAACTACCCTCTCATGCAGAGTTGTCCATTATACACCTGCCTTCTGGAAGATAAAGATGGATACCTCTCCTTTCACATTATTGGTTAAGGGACCAATGTGCCTTCAGAAAGAACTACATTTTCAGGCTGTGTGAGTCTGGAGTGGATCACGAGGAATAGGAGAAAAGCAGTCAAAGAAGGAGATCCCAACTCATGGAAATCCTGGTAATCCTCCAGCTCAATGATTTAGGTGTGGAGGCCATTTCATCCCTTGCTTAGAGGGGCGATGGCTAGTGACTGGCTTACTTACTTCCTCATACTTAGACCAGCACTAAACCCTACCCCAACACAGACACTTGAAAGACAGGAAGGTGTCCTCTTGTACAAACTGGACTCATTTTAAAAATTAAAAAGAGCAGAGGCAACTTGCAGAAGGACCTGTCTTATGGAAAATAAGAGCAAAGGCCAAGACTGAAGCAGATGCTGGGTCTGAGCAGGGAATGCCTCCATCAAGAGCCCAAAACAAAATTGCAGGTAACAAGCTGGGTGTGCTTTATTTAGCAAAGAAAAGCGCGACAGGACATGGTTTGTTGGGGGGATGCTTCTAATCCCCATACTACTCAAGTTCTTCAGGGTTTTACTTTGTCTTCTGTAACTGGAGTTTTCTATTGTGAAGAGTTACTTAATTGTAATTCCTCATGGGAGCAAATGTGACATTTTTACAGGGATCTCAAAGAGTTAGCAGCTCCTGAGAATAGAATATTCTTACATGGTGGTACCACTACTTCTGAGCAAATGAATAATTGTAAAGTTAATAAACCTCTTTGGGGTTTGAACTGAAACTGAATGTTAGAAAGGACTGATTGTCCAAACACTGGTTGCAAACTTTAATCTGTTTGCCACTGCTGTGAGAGACTATGTAAAGCAGGGAGTCAGAGAAGAGTGATGTGTGGCAGGGTATAAAGAAAGGTTTGGGGGACCAGCAGTTAGCGTAATGGCTGTGTTGCTGGACTCCCATGTTGTCGACCACGGTTCGAGTCCCGGACCCAGTGGCTTAAACTAACACCGGGCGCGTGTGTGTGTGTGCCCAAGATCCCGAGAGGAGAATGGAGGAGAAGGGATTGCAGCGTGGCCATCTCCCCTGGGGGATGATTTCTCACTTTCTGTCTCTCTGTCTCTCTCTGTCTGGCGAGTGCACGCGCCCTATAGCAAAAACCTCTCCAAAAAAAGGAAAAAAAAAAAAGAGAGAAAGGTTTGTATCTTGGCCTTGTTTTTCTCAAAACATCATTTAGAAAATATTAATCTAATCTACCACCCAAAAGGCAGTGGTAACCACATGTGGCAAAGTGATTATTCTAAACATTCTTGTTATTCCTTTCATCTATTTTTGTCTTCCCAGTATGACAATAGAATCTTCTACACCACAGGAAAGAGCAAAATAATGGTGCAGATAGCCTCAGGCTTCAATAAAAAACCACTCTCTTGCTCTTCTACTGTGAGCGATAATCTGCACTTGACAAGTAGAAAAAAATATTTATTTTGCTTCCACTGTGCCCTAAACATTCTTGTTATTCCTTTCATCTATTTTTGTCTTCCCAGTATGACAATAGAATCTTCTACACCACAGGAAAGAGCAAAATAATGGTGCAGATAGCCTCAGGCTTCAATAAAAAACCACTCTCTTGCTCTTCTACTGTGAGCGATAATCTGCACTTGACAAGTAGAAAAAAATATTTATTTTGCTTCCACTGTGCCATCAAAGGTTTAGTTTACAAAACCAAATCCCAGGGCTAGCAGGTGACACAGAGATTAAGGCGCTGTATTCCACAAGACCAACTACAAAATTCTAGTCCTAGATTCAGTGGCTTGAAAAATCACACCAGGCTCTCTTGTGTGTGCATGCCCAAAGTCCCAAGAGGAGAATTGCAGCGTGGCCATCCTCCATGGGGGATGTCTTAACACTTTCCCTCTCTCTCAGGCTCTGTCTTTCTCTGGCAAGTGTTGCACTTTACAGCAAAACTTAAAAAAAGATCCCATCCCCTATAGGAAAAAATGCCACCTCTAACCAAACTTGTGGGGAGGGATGCTGATTGTTTTCATTACTTAGTGCTCCATTAAAAAAAAAAGAATTGCCAGAGGGCACATGCACTCACCAGAGAGAGAGATATAGAGAGACAGAGAGAGTAGAAGAGAGGAAAGACATTTCCATGAGGCATGGTCATGCCATGGCAAACCCTTCTCCATTGCTTCATCCTACTGGGATTCTGGGCGCACGCACACATGTGCCTGGAATGTTTCTCATGCTGCCAAATTTTTTTGCTATAGGGCGTGTGTGCTCGCCAGACAGACAGAGAGAGACACAGAGACAGAAAGCGAGAAATCACCCCCCAGGGGGGATGGCTACACCACAATCCCCTCTCTTCCATTCTCCTCTCGGGATCTTGGGCATGCACACACACGCGCCTGGCGTGAGTTTAAGCCATCAGGTAAGGGACGTGAACCGCGGTCGGCTACATGGGAGTCCAGCGACATAGTCATTATGCTAACTGCTGGTCCCCCATATTCAGGTTTTGAATCACTCAGTGTGAGATTCAGCTCCCTTAATCACCAGGCCATGGGAGCGGCCCAGTGTCCATTAAAAACAAACAAACAAACAAACAAAAACCCCTTACTTATTCATTTCTTCAGAGAGAAATAAAAGCAGCACTCCCAACAGGGTCTTCACACAGCTATCCTCCCCTAGCTCCAGCCAGCCCTAGATCTTGGGCAGGCATGCACTCAGTGTACTCAGGGAGGTGTCCAAGTGTGACTCTAAAACCTTCTCACGTGGGTCAGCCTTGCAGAAAGTGTTGCATTTTACCACTGCGCCACCTTCCAACACCTATTTTTCTTATAGTATTTGTTTTCATCCTATCTTTCTAATAAAAGCTTGGAATTAGTAATCATATAAGATCATTCATACATTTTAGGTGAAAAATTGGTCTGAACTGTGTTTTGTGTAAATAAGAAAGCCAATGGTGACTTTTGGATTTTTTTTAATCTTTCTGTATTTTAGTTACCTACTGAATCCTTCTGGAATATTCTAAGTTTGAGAAGGCTAAGCAAGTTACTCTCCATAAATGAACAGAGTTTGTATTCGTACCAGTAAGTTAACTGTGTCATTTTTGCATGATATTGTCTAAAAGAATCTAAGCAAAAAAAGGGGGGAGGCTCCCCAATAAAGAAAAAAATTGCCCCCACAAAGTTGTGTTTTCAATATTAGAAACAAAGTTTCTGTCTTTTGTAGCTCAGTCAGTGGGTGATGGGCTGAGTCGGTTGGACGGCAGTTAGTGTGCATCCATAACTGCAGGTGCAGCCTCCGTATCCTCATTAGACTCCTTGGTTATAGCCCCCCGTGGGACAATGCTCAAAAAATTACCTTCACTGTCTAGGAAACTGGGAACTGAAAGTCCAATATCTGCCTCAGTGGAGTTCTGGCACCTGCATTATCCCTTCTGGGGATATCAGGGTCAACAGCTGTACAGAGACTTTTGCTGTTCACAGATTCTACATGTATTATAAAAGGGTGAATAGTGTAAAGCTGCTTCTAGACATTACCAAGCACACAGGTACATGCCATTTCATCTAGAACATTCTATCACCTTGTACAAGAACCCAGATTAAGTGCACTCACAATCTAGAATTACCCTCCCCCACACCTCAGTGTGCATCCATTATGTCTGAAAACTGATGAAGCTGGGAGTGGTGAAAGGAGGGTGTTAAGATAGGAAGGAGGTTCTCTGCTAGCTTTGCACATTTTTGTTCCATTTGAAACTATGTAGCTAGGCTGTGGGGAGCCAAGAGGGATGAGGATTAATTAATACACTGGGCCCTCAAGAATTTTCATTATCAACAGCACACACGTGAGCTCCAGAAAGAAGAACTATGGCTGCAGTGATACTGGAGAGCATCTTTTTGAAGCGATCCCAGCAGAAAAAGAAAACATCACCTTTAAACTTTAAGAAGCGCCTCTTTCTCTTGACTGTGCACAAACTTTCCTACTATGAGTATGACTTTGAACGTGGGGTAAGTTTCTTAGCTATGAAATGTGAGTCTTACGGTTTCAAAGATTTGGCCTTAGATCTTTGGAGAAGAGATAGATCCTCTTTGGTAGGAGCAGAGAGGTGGACCTAAGAACTTAAGCTCAGCAAAATATTTCCTAGCCTAGAGGCCAGCAGGTGGTGTGGAGGTTAAGGCAGCTAGATTCTCCTTGGCCAGCTCCGTGGTTTAAGCCCTAGACCAGGTCACTTGCAAAGTACACTGGGCCCATGTTCGTGTGTACCTAAAATCCAGAGAGGAGAATGGAGGAGAAGGGATTGCGGCATACCCATACCCCTTGGGAGATGATTTCTCACTTTTCCTCTCTCTGTGTCTCTCTGTCTCTCTTTGCCAGCACACTCCCCCTATACCAAAACCAAAAAAATAACAACAAAAAAATCCCACACAAACAAACAAAATGACCTAAATATTTCTAGCCTAGAACTGGCCATAAGGGAAATCTTGGTGAGCACTCATTAAATGATGGCTGAGAATGAAAATTAGTTCCTTATTTTTTATGAAAAAGGCATATACAGTCTTTCACTCTTTCATAGTATTTGCCCTCCATTTGGCAGTCAAGGAAGATTTGGTTTATACATTTGAAAGTTTTTTGTTCATTTTGTTTTCAAAATATTTTCCTTATATAGAGTGTGGGTGCCAGCTCACTACATTGAATGATTAGATAACAAAATCTAATCATCTGGTTGCTTAATCGCTCTTAATCTTTTTCATTTTCTTCCTCATTCTCTTTCTCAGAGACGAGGCAGTAAGAAGGGCTCAATAGACGTTGAGAAGATCACCTGCGTTGAAACAGTAGTTCCTGAAAAGAATCCTCCCCCTGAAAGACAGATTCCGGTAAGAAAAAAATGTCAGATAGGGGAAGTGGTGGATTTTAAGAAACTTGGATTCTTTGAATTCTCTGTAAATAGAGATTTTACAGCGTGCAGTGTGGAACACAGTCTTGCTCCCTCATAAAATTCTTCACCTTACCATGTATCAGTTAAACTGAGTCTCAGCAAATTTCCTCCATATGCAGAACACTTACCCTGCAAAGCTTGTAACAACAATTTTAAAATGATACCACATCAAGTTTTCACACTGGTCATAGATGGTTGATTTTACTCCCTTAGTTATCAGGATCAAATCCAGAGGCTTGAGTAAGTCTGAATGCCAGAATCCTAGGGCTCAGGGAGTCACATGAGATTCACATGAGACTCTTTAATTTCTCACATCCCAGAGCCTCTCCAAGGCATAATACCTACTGACGTTTAAAAATGATTTAATTCGGGGCTACAGGTGGCGTGGTGGTTAAGGTACTAGACTCCCACATGGCTGACGGCGGTTCAAGTTCTGGACCTGGCAGCTTGCTTTCTCGCTTTCCCTTTCTCTCTGTCTCTCTCTGGTCAAATTTAAAAATGATGAATAAAATTAAATAAAAAATATTTAACTGACAAATAATAATTACACATATATGGGGTATGGTGTCATATTTTGATATGTGTATACAATGTGTAATGATCAAATCAGAATAATTAGAATATCAGTTCAAACATTTACTTTTGATTTTTGAGTTGTTTTTAATATCATTTACTTTTTTTCTTGATTACAATAGTAGATGCATATTTCTTATGGAAAATACAAGAAAATACAAGAAGGAAGATAAAATAATGCACAATCCTATTATCCAGATAAAACAACTACAGCATAACATATTCGTGTATATAGAATTATACATGTTTTTCTCCACAAACAACATGTACACTAATACATACCTTATATATTTAAAACATAAAATCATACTATACATACATCTTTGTAACCTTCTTTTGTAATTTAACAGTTTATTGGAAACATTTTCCTATGACAATAAGTAATTTTTCATAACATGATTTTAATGCTTCATGGTATCCCCTATCATGATTATACTGTAATTTGTTCAGTTAATCTCCTATTATTACACATTTAGTTTGTTTCCAATTACTTGATAGTATAAATCATGTTGAGAGGAACATCCTTGTATACATCTTTGTGTACTTTTCTTTACAATAATTTCCTAGAAGTAAAATTTTGTTCTTCTCTTTATACAATTTGTATGCTTTGGTTATATTTATCTTTTTATTCTATTTTCTAGAAGTGAAATTTGAATTGCATACACTTTTTTTTGAGAGGTTTTGCTGTAGGGTGCGTGTGCTTGCCAGAAATACAGAGAGACAGAGAGACAGAAAGCGAGAAGTCATCCCCCGGTGGGATGGAGATGCCACAATCCCTTCTCCTCCATTCTCCTCTCAGGATCTTGGGCACACACGCACACACACCTGGCATGAGTTTAAGCCACCGGGTAAGCCACCGGGTCTGGACCTGGAACCGTGGGCAACTACATGGGAGTCCAGCAACATAGCCATTACGCCCACTGCTGGTCCTGAATTGTATACACTTCTACAAGCTATGTATGACCATGTCTACTTCTCTACAGTCTTTCCAACATCTGATATATTAAATTTATTAGTTCGACATCCCTAAAAAATAGTATTACACTGTTGACTTATTTTAGAATTATTTTTTACTTATAAATTTGGATAATCGTATGTCTACTGCTCATTTATTATTATTATTATTTTTGTTTTTTAGCCATAAGTCATGTGTGCTTGCCAGAGAGAGACAGAGAGACAGTGAGAGGGAAAGTGAGAAATCACGCCCCCCCTCCCCCCCCAGGGAGGATGACCAGGCCATAAGCCCTTCTCCTCCATTCTTCTCCTGGGATTTGGGGCACACATGCACATGTGCCCAACATGAATTTCAAGCCACTAGGTCTGGGACTTGAACTGGGGACATCCATGTGGGAGTCCAGTGCCTTAACTACCATGCCACTAGCTGGCCCCTCACTAATTATTTTTTCATTTGTGAATTGCCTATTAGTTTTTGAGCTGTTTTTTTTTTAAGGTATTTATCTTTAGTACTTTTAAAGAGATCCTTATATAAGAATATAAATCCTGGGCTAGCCAGGTAGCCTGGTTGTTAAGGGAGGTAGATTCCATAAGGCCAACTGCAGCTGAAATTTCAGTCTTGGGGTACCAGCAGTTAGCGTAATGGCTATGTCATTGAACTCCCATGTAGTCGGCCACGGTTCGAGTCCTGGACCAGTGGCTTAAACTCACGCCGGGTGTGTGTGCATGCTTGCCCAAGATCCCGAGAGAAGAATGGAGAACAAGGGATTGCGGTGTGGCCATCCACCCTAGGAGGTGATTTCTTGCTTTCTATTTCTCTCTCTGTCTTTCTGGCGAGCGCACGTGCCTATAGCAAAAATCTCTCCCCCAAAAAAGAAATTCCAGCCTTGGTGTCTTGAAAAAATGGTGGTTGCATATGCATTCATGACCCAAATTCCAACAGAATGGAAAAATTAAGGGATTGCAGCGTATCCATGGTCCACTGGGGAGGTGTGCTTTCTCCTTCTCTCTGTGTGTGTGTTTGTCTCTCTCTGGCAAGCATACATGCTCTCTGGCAATTAAACAAAACAAAACACAAAAAGCTTAGGCTATTAATCCCTTAAATGTAATATGTGTTGAAAATACTTTTCAATTTATCATTTATCCTTGAATTCTGTTTAAGGTATGTTTTAGCCATACATTTTTAAAAATACAATAGCCTTTATTATAGCTTCTCAATCTTTGTTTAATGGCAATTTTACAAAGCAAAGCCACCAGGTCCAGGATTTTGAATCAATTTCACAAAGCAAGTCACCAGGTCCAAGACTTGAACTGTAGGCAGCCATGTAGGAGTGTCCAGTGCCTTAACCACCACACCACCTACTGGTCCCAAGCCATACATTTTTTTAAAGTAATGATTTATTTATTTATTTAGTTATAATAATTTGGTGTATGGGGTGTGTACTTGCCAGAAAGACAGAGAGAGAGAGAAAGAGAGAGAGAGAGAGAGAAGGGAGGAGTGAGAAGTCACCTCCAAGAGGGCATGGCCATGCCACAACTCCTTCTCCTCTATTCTCCTGTTAGGATTCTGGGCACACATGCACACATATCTGACATAATTCTGAAGCCTCTGGATCTGGGACTTGAACTGCTCAGTTAGTCATGGGGGATCCAGCCATCTTAACCTCTGTGCCACCCGTTGGCCTCACCATAAATGGTTTTAAAGTCTATGTGACCAATTACTTCATCTTTTTCTTAATCTTTAGCATTATATAGAAAGGCCTTGCTTCCCACAAGATTATATAAACAGTCATTTATATTTGCTCTTGGTCATTCATAGTTTCCTTTTTTATATTAAGTTTTTAAATCCATCTAGAATTTACTTTGGTCTATGGTGTGAAATAGCTGCCTAACTTCCCTCCTCCCCCCAGTATTAGTGGTTAAGTGTTTGTCCCAGCATCAATTTTTAAGAAAAGTCCCTTTCTCCAATTATTTAAAATGCCTGAGTCTGCAGTGAATATATGCTGGGTCCTATGAATATGTGTTCCTACTGGGCTATAGCAAGCAATCATTAAGAATGGGCATCGACTATGCAGAAGATTCTGCAGCAACTGCAAAAGACTCCTAGTATCCAAGGAAATTCTGCAAAGAGCAATAACCATGCTTTCTTCTTTTGTTACAGAGGAGGGGTGAAGAATCCAGTGAAATGGAGCAGATTTCAATCATTGAACGATTTCCTTACCCTTTCCAGGTGAGTTATCTTCTCTCATCAGCTCCTGAAAGGACCCTGTAATGCAATCATTAGGGATGGGATGCAGGGCACAGGGAAGTATACTTCGTTTAAGCGAACAGAAGTTTAGAGAGAGGGAAGCTAGACCAGAAATTAAACTGGCATGGGCTGACAATGCTTACTTTTCTATTTTCTTAATCTAACATAATTTCTTTCAGTCTTTACAACTCAAGGAGAATAAAGAGCAGCACCAGTTCTATTGTGGTGTGTCTTGTCTGTGATAACTGCATTGAGAAAGATGCTCTGCTTCTTGAGTGAGCATTTCACTTCCTTCTGGTTCTGCCTATCTGTATAACAGTGGTCATGTGGGTTGAAAGACAGAAAAAGGGAGGGAAGGAGGAGTATTAGGAAGTTGGGTATGGGGAAGGCTTAGTAGACTTACACATAAACCTAAATTCTATGCTAGCCTGGAATAGCTGAAAAGCCTTGGGCATCTGTTTGGTTGATGCCATGTAAGCCGTAAGGAAAGCGAGAGCTATAGAATTGATCTTCAATTTGACTTGCTTATGTCCTGAGAACTCTGTAAGCCACATGTTGTGAATATAGCGGCCTCTGCAACAGTGAAAGCCAGAAAAGGAAGTGGAAAGTCTCAGGGGAGGGGGCTTTCTGTCATGGATTTATGAGCACAGTAAGACTAACAAGCAAAAAGAAAAATGTAAAAGGATCTTGTTCATCTCCCTGACTATATCAAAGTTACAAAACTTGTGAAGCAAAGATGTTTCAGATGTAGTTTTAACTGCTGTTGTCCTTCAACGAGATGACATTGTTTGGCTGTGTTAGTGGATAATGCTTAAATAGAAGATAATTCAAAATTAATTTATATATAACTATAGAACCCATTATATGATGTCTATTAACTCTGTGAGTGTTGGAACCACAACTTATATATTTCATGCACCTCCACAACACCTACCATGATGTCTAGTACATGGTAGGTGTTCAAAAAATATTGACTGATTTGATAACAGTGCTTAATATATATTTTCCTCATTTTAAAGTACATTTGCTCTAAATTTGGTTTATTTGGCTAATATTGGTGGTGGATGTCACTAGGTAGTGGGCGGGGGGGGGATCTAATTGGCCATGAATTAAAATTTTGCTCTATATTATCCAAGTGAATAACCCATATGTAGTAATCAAGATTTCAGTTATATAGATCTTCATTTCTATTCCCTTCTATACAAATTTATAGTTTAAAAATAAGATAATAAAATATCCTTTGATTTGGGGCCAGCCAGTGGTGTGGTGGTTAAGGCAGCTGGATTCCATGTGGTCAACTGTGTGATTCAAGTCCTGGACTTGGTGGTTTGAAAAAACATGCCAGGTACATGGGCATGTGTGCCCAAAGTCCTGAGAAGAGAAAGGAGGAGAAGGGATTTAAGTGTGACAATCTCCCCTGGGAGGTGTTTTCTCACTTTCCCTCTCTCTTTTTCTCTGTCTCTCTCCAGTACATGTGCCCTATAGCAACATTTTTTAAAAAAAATCCTTCATTGGATAAACAAAAACCTTGTCCACACTAAGGGCTGAGGGAAATATTATGAACTAAGTTTCCATACAAATTTAAACACGAGAGGACCTAGGAGTATTCTAAAAACTAAGAGCTTCTAAGTCCTAAATCTCTGGATAGGAATAGTTTATTAATTCTTCAGTGAGTTCACAAAACCCAGAACCATTGCTGACTGAATACTGTTTCTTTGATTTTTACAGTACATATGCAGTTGTACCTTAAGATTAGGTCTTTCAAATTTTTCTTCTTCTTCTTTTCTTCTCCTTCTCCTTCTTGTATCATAACTGCATAAGTCTGTGTGTCTTTTGCACAGGTTGTATATGATGAAGGGCCTCTCTATGTCTTCTCCCCAAATGAAGAACTGAGGAAGCGTTGGATTCACCAGCTCAAAAATGGTGAGAACAATCTGCAAAACAAATTAGTTTCTAAATAAAGAGGAAAGGAAAGAGAGAGAGAGAGAGAGAGAGAGAGAGAGAATAGAAAGGAGGGAAGAAGACAGAAAAGAGAAAGGGAAAGATGAAGGAGAATGGTAGAGAGAAAGAGGGAGGGAGGAAGGATGAATAGGTAGGAGAAAAAAAAGAAGGAAAGAAGGAGGGAGAGAAGAAAGTAAAGTAGGGGGAGTGAAAGAAAGATCTGCATTTCCCCCCAATATTAATGACACAATTGAGTTTAGTATATTCCATCATATGAATAAAGGATAGCACATTAGACTAAGACTTTCAAACCAGTTCCACAACTATCTCTTTAGTACAATTCTGTTGTAGTGGACACCTCCATTTCCCTATTTATAAAAAGACCCTTTTTTTCCATGATAGAGTGTGTGCACGCACATGAGAGAGAAAGAAGTGCTTTCCACGGGGCTTAGTTACAATACTATCCACTTCATCCAGTCCTCCAACCCACTAGGATTCTGAGCATACACATGCACCGGGCATGTTTGCAGGCTGGCTGGGCTGAGGACTCAAAACATGGTCAGCATGTGGCTTCCAGCTCTGCAATCTGGTATGATACTGACTGTGCTACAGAGGCTGGACTCCATTGTTTTTATTTGTTTGTTTGTTTTAAAGGAGAGAGAAAGAGCAGTGGGAGAGAGAGAGGTATTTTTGACAGGGTCTTTCCACCACATCACAATCCTTTCTGCCTTAGCCTCCCAGTCAGCTAGGACCACAGGCATGCACTACCACACCCAGCCTGTTTTAGGTTGGGCTAAGAACTGAACCTGGGCCTACCCTGCAGCATTGGCCATCATGCAACAGTGCCCTTCCACCTGTACCACTCTGGGTAGGCTTAAAAAGCCATTCTGTACACTAATGACAAGGGTGGTGGGGCATCTATGCAAAATGAGGGGGGTGGTCTTCTAAAAGTCCATGGAAAATGGATATTATGAAAAAAAAACTATATATGAATTTTTAAAATTTTTGCATTAGAATAAACCTGTACTTTAATTCCATTTTCCACAAACTTTTTGAAGTCTGTTTGTATTTAGAATTCTAAGAATGAAATAGCTAGCTTTGGGCCAGCAGGTGGGGCAGTGGTTGGGAAGCTGGACTCCCACATGACCAACTACAGTTCAAGTACTGAACCCAGTGACTTGAAACTCACACCAGGCATGTGTGCCCAAAATCCCAAGAGGAGAATGGAAGAGAAAGAATTGAAGTGTGGCCATCCCCTCTGGGGCGGGGGGGGATGGGGGGGAGGATTTCTTACTTTTTTTCTTTTTTTAAAGTAAAGGTAAGATTCCCTTCACCTTGTGGGTTTTTTTTTAAGAATTATTTTATTTAACTTTATTTATTTATTTATTTATTTATTTATTTATTT